ATTTTCTTGTTGTTGTTGTTGTGTTTGCTATAATTATCAGGCTACAACACACTAAAGCTAACAACACATTTCGGCCAAAGTAAATAGTGCGCCTAGAAACTGACTGGAGCAGTTAGCAAATATTTGTTTCTATGCCTATATCTATGTATGTATGCGTTTATGTATTTTTGTATTAGTGTGTGTGCATGTTTTGATTACATTTGATGTACTTACACATTAGTTTGATTTGCTTTACTGTTAGTCGGCTATTTTATCGCTTTATATTTGATTTTAATACTTTGATTTAGTATGCATTTGATTTTATCACTTGTATTTCAAATATAACGGTTATTTATATGCAATATATCATAACTTAGCTTTGCCTTTTGTATGCAAAAACAATATTTTGCTTGCTTTTAATCAAATATTTTGGACTTCTCGTTTCATTTCTGCGAGTTCTTGGAATTGTAAATGAATAATATGAAATTATTTTGTATAACTGTTAATAAAGATTAAGTATTTTAACTTTGAAATTACGTAAAACATAATTAAACTGTGATTTCATTCAAATGGCGTCAAACGCTATCTTTCGTCAGCACATTTTTTCTCATCCTAAAACCATAGTTAACATTATTCAAGTTGCAAACCATTCTAAACTATTCACATTTTTTAAGATAAACGTTACTGAATCTATTTTGATATTGAGAATATTGCTCTTTACTTCGTTTCTGGAACTAAATGAACTATGAGGAACTTTAGAAATATGGATCATACCACTACTTTGAAGTTTCTTGACAATATTTCGAAATTTCGGCTTAATAAAGCTGAAGTATTTTAAATTCAGGATATGGTTAAAGGGAGTAAGATATAAAGGGCGTATATAATATTATATATAAACATCACTTGTAGTAATAATTTTCTCAGAATTTAATAACCTTGGATGTGACAGTCAATCAAGTGTTTAAAAACTTTGATGACATAACTTGGGTAAGTAAAATTCGGGCTGTAACCTTGCTAGCGGTATCTGCGCCTATTAGGAAACGAAGTAGAATACTTCATATAAGAGACTGATGGACTCTTTAAAACAAGTACCATCTAGAACTAACTGACATTCTGGCTGCGCAAATTTTTTTGACGTCAGTGAATAAAAGTACTCTAAATGGCATATGAGCTCGGTGAGTTTTCGTCAGCTCTCATTCCCACAAAGTTCTTTTTTAAGGGGTTCTAGTGACGAAAAAAATATGATATTTAATAACCGAGCTTGAATTAATCTCTACACTTTTACATACTCTCAGCTTTCCCAAATTTATCTTTGGTAGCCATATTCGAGACATGAAGGGCTGGTCGATTACTTCATACAACTTGTATGAGGTTATAATTTTTTCTATATTTTGATGCAGAGCACGTTATAGCTTGCAAACCTCCAAGCCAGTCATTATGAAAGGTGTCTAGGAAACCAGTACCATAGATGCCTAGAACACACGTTAAAAAATATAAGAGGTTAATGCCTGCTCATAGACCCTATGTAACCACAACTAATCTCTTACCTATAACCAAAACAACTTCTTTTGAATTAAAGAGAAATAAGATAAGATTTGCATGAGATTTAAACTACCACTATTAAATATGCAGTATGGAAGAAAACCTTATATAAAAAAAGTAAAACTCGACAATGAAAAATTGCTATATAGACATTTAACGTCTGCAGACGAAAGGGAGTAGTGCTAATGCTGCTTTGGAAACAATACCAAAAAGAGAATGAAGGCTCAACCCCCAACTCAAGTAAATTTATTTATTTATAAGTTGAAAAGAACGCTGAGAAACTGTGTGGGGAAAGAGTGACTGTAAATATTAAACGGACTATTCATAGTGTCAGTTCTTAAGATTTTAAAGGCGAAAAGAGAAAATACTCTTCATCGAATGCCATGCAAATTATCCTATTAATATTCTGGTTAAAAAGCAGCTGCAAAGTTCGATTAGAAAACAAATAATTTATTAGTATATTTCTTACGTGCGAAAAATTATTTTGTTCGATATATGGTTTAACGTTAATTCATTTAATTATTTATAAAATAATAAGATAAATGATTTTGTGGGGAAACCGAACTGAGCAGAAGTTTCATATGTGCCCAACTAGAAAGCAGGCCGACGTCTTGCATTCTACTGAATATGTTGGAATTAGTCTACCATTACTGTCATTTATCGAGAAACCGTCATAGATACTGAAAACAATGTGCTGACTTGAAAGCCAATTAAATAAATTAAATTGCCCCCAAAGATATTTAGGAATTGTAGTTGTCGTATTAAATATAGTATAAAAACAAGTAAAGGTAGAATTTGATTCTGATAAGTCAAAAGGTTTTATTACTGAGAATTTGATTTTGATTACTAAACATTTTTCAATGCTGAGAATTTGGTTTACTCCAAACTTTGAGAAAAAAAAAATTATTAAATGCGTGCAGAATTCTTTTCTCATTTCTATTCGTTTCTCTAGTGTGTTTTTTGTTTATTTTTGATATTTATTTTCATTTTCACTTTCGATATACACACATATATGTATATCTCTCTATATATAGTTCTTTGAATATTCCTGTTTAGTTTTCGCTGCATTTGTTCATTTGTTTTTGGGTAAGTTCATACACATGTGTGTATTGATGCTATGTATTTCTATTAGATTTATATATTTGTTTATCTCTAAATATTTTCTAAGTGTTTTTCATTATTTTCATGCACATACATACATTAAAAAAAGTTTTACACTAGTGAAAATTAGAATTTACGCATATTTTTACTATTGAAGCTTGCAAATATTGCAAAGCAACTCTGGTGAAAAGTAACACGCAGCAGAATTCGTCACTACAACGCACACATATGAATGTATTTTTTGTTTATCCATATGTTGAGTAGGTTTATCAAAAAAAAATTGTTATTGGTTTGGTTAATATTGCATTAGCAGATAATTTATGTGTCGGTATTATTTAATACATATTTATTTACGGGAAACAGTACACACATGTGCATTTTAGTTCATTGTTTATTTGGTATTCACCTGTACTAAGCATGGTCGAATGGACTTTTGTATATCAGGGGATGTGTGTACCTTTGACCTCCGTTCCATTCCATTTGTAAATTAACTTAGCTCAATTTTTTTCGAAAAGAGCCATTTAGATTAGGAAGAGGAAGACCTCCACTCCGTTGGAAGGACCAAGTGGAGAAGGACCTGGCTTCACTTCGAGTATCTAATTGGCGCCACGTTACGAAAAGAAGAAACGACTGGCGCGCTGTTGTTAACTCGGCTATAATCGCGTAAGCGGTGTCTACGCCAATCAAGAAGAAGAAGAAAATCTTAGCGGAATGGCTATCTTTCATTTTATGTGCCTAATGTTTCACAAACTTGGTAATTATTTTGCTATTTTCAAACTTTTGGTAAGTTGGTATAGTTTTTGCTAATATTTCATAAAAATGTGTCTTTACGTCCCCGCATTTTTTTGTTTTTTGCTTCTGGTTGTCCGCTTAACAGATTGTACTTAATCAACATCAAAAATGTGCATGGTTAATGGCGATGTCCGCTTAATAGGGTATCCATATTATTAAAATCGGTTCAGTAGCTTAGGATTTCAGCGCGGACAAACAACGTGACACGTACTTTTTATATATAAAAATAAAGTTAATTTAAGGCTGAGATATGCTGACGACATATATTTTCGTATCAGAGCTACAGTTAGGACCTGGAAGAACTTCACATCTTCACCAACAGGCAAATGCAATACAAGATAGTGACTATTTGTTGGGAGTTTTTAGGCGCTGAGCCTCTTTGCAGAGAGAATAACGCCAACAAATGCATTTCTGATAACTCTGAGCTTTTGCATAACACATCTTCTTAGATGACAGAAAATGTAGACTTCAATCTCTCAAAGATAAACGCACGGTTTCGCTAAATCCATGAATAAATATTTCCTTTGTGTGTCGAGTTCGTCGATTATAAGAAAAATCATCTCTGTGATGTTCATTGAACACATTTGTGATGCGAAAATTGCCATAAGTTATTTTTTTATTAGTTTTGTAGGATGAAGACCAGATTCGTTTACGCTGATAAACCCTGAAAGAATCAATTTCTGAAAATAAAATATCGATGAACTTGGTCATGCTTACAAAAACTTAATTTTTGTTGGAAGTCTACCGGACTAAGACGTAAAATCTGTAGGTCAAATTAATAGAAGCACCTGCTGCTTTCAATATAGTAATACAAAATAAGAAATAAATTATGGTTAATAAGTACTAATAAAGAGATAACACAAATCTTTTTAACATGAACAGGCTAATAGACTTTCTCGCTAACCCATTACTCACTCCAACCTAACATGTGATCGCTACTCAAACATTGTGCGTGTCTACTTCAACATTCAAGACTCCTTTTGCATATTTATATGCACCTTATAAGTAAGTATGTCTAAATGCAGTTATTTGCATAACGGTAGCATTTTGTATATTTGCCTCCACTTACGGCACTAACGTTTGCATATTAGCCACTGTGTGTGCGCCAACATTGCAAATACGAGTACATATCTATCAATCACACCATAAGAATATGATATTTCACACTTTTCACTTACTACTACTGCTCATTACTAACGACAAACACACACACACACACGTGCGTACAAAATATACTTATGTACATTTGTAAAACTCCAAATTTTACTTTGTTGTAACTGTTTTGCACTTTAACTGTAAATATCCTATTTATATTGTGGCTTCATTCCTTATACAAGTCAATTAAATGTGTTTGTTGCTGTTGTGCTGTCTGTTGATGCTGCGGGGAGTAATCGTTGTTTGTTACCTGCTGAAATGTCCAATATTGTTGTTGTTGGTGCTGCTGCTGCAACTGGTGTTGACTGTGTGGCTGCTGTTGTTGTTGGTGTTGCTGCATGTGATACTGCTGCTGCTGCTGCGCCGGCTGTTGGTGCTGGTGCTGCTGCTGCTGCACACCGCATTGCTGGTAATGCGTTAGGTGTTGTTGTTGCACTGCATTTTGCGGCTGCACCGCCAATATAGCGGTACCCGCTGCATTTGTTGTTGTTGTCGCGGTTGCCGCTATCGGTGCAATAGCTGTTGGCAGCGGCGCCTGTATGGGCGGTGCCACAGTGACTTTGGTGCAGGCACATAAAGTTGTTGTTGTTGCTGCAGCGTTGGCAGCATTTGTTGCTCCATTTGTTGTTGCAAATGCGGGCCATCATGGCAGCTACACTAGCAGGCTCGGTGCGAGCCATTCGTCTTCAGCAAGCTGCAGTTTTATGGAAAGAGAGAGACAGAGAAAAATTGAGCAAATATCGTATTCAAATGTTACGTATACGCCAAGGGCGACATGTTTCAAAGGAGTTCTTATAGCGTGTTTCTTTTTTTTTTTTTGTTTGCTTCGATCTGGATATTTTATATTATTTGTTTTGTGTATTATTTGTACTTTTAGCGGTTTTTTATTGTCTACAATTTGGAAAGCTGTAAGACCTCAGGTAATAAGCAAAAGCGAATTGTTATGAGCAACAAGTGATGATCATTTCTAAGCCATGGCCAAACTGCTGGTTTATTTATTATCACAACAAATAAATATTTCGGTTATTTAAGAATTATATGTAATTATAAACATTTTGAATACTATTTGTATACCCTGAATAGGACATACAATATAATTTTTGATACGAAATTTGTAACACCCAGTAGGTAATTTCGGAGACCCTTTTAGCGTTCGTGACAAACATTATATATCATATATAAGCGATTAGAGTCAGGTTTGTCTTTCTCCCAATCTGAATATATTTCAGTTCTTTAGTTTTGAAACTATGATTTGGAATTTGCCACACCTTCCCGAAGATACTGCTCATTTGTCGGTTCTGCCAATATCATACCAGTATAGGATATCGCTGTCATACAAACTGATCGATAAAAATTATGATAAAAGCATCTGTGAAAGATCTCTTTTTCCTATTTAATATCTTAAATTCGATCTTTTTCAATTTCTTCGAAAATGAAATAAGTGTGCGATCGTACCATTGCTTTCTAACTGAATTTAATAGCCGACTGCTTTTTGTGCCTTTTGTCTTCACTGCTCAATAAAGACATCAATGTGACGCGCTGTTGTTAAGCAACCACTTTCGTTGTCTCTGCTCGGCTTTTGTACGAAACTAGTAATGTACGTCTACATATAAGTGTGGACTTGTATGCACATTAGGAAGTGTTAGAATTTTTTAAATCTTTGATGGTGCTATTGCAAATTTTGCTTTTGAAACATTACATTACTTTCAAAACAGTCTGAGCACGAATGTAGAGTGTTAGGTTCAGAGCATTTTTGTTGCTAAAATGATTCAGGATATTACATACTGGCAATTACAAACATGTTCCTTGTGATGTCAATATTAAATAAACCTTATAAAAATACAGATATCGAAGAACCGCCTTCAACCTTGCACAAATCAGCTATTATTGATAACCGTGCTAATAACTTTTCTCGTTAGTAAAAAAGGAGCAATAAGGGAGTTGTATAACATTAAAGAAATTTCCAGTTTGGGCTGTCGCAGCAATTTGATATTGGAATCACTAGATATCTGTGAGGCTACAAGAACCTCGCGACCACTTCGGAGACATTTTTTTAAAACACAGAGGACCTTCTCTTAAGTTAAAAAACTGTTGAAAACCCAAAACGCTATTTGATATGAAATTCCGAAACGATGCAACATGTTGTCTGCTTTTTGCTTTGTAACTTCGCACAGAAACAGACTACCCCTAGTGTTGTGTCACAAAAGAAACCACAGAAAATAATTGCATCAAAAGCAAGGTGAAAGTGAATAGTGAAATAAACAACAACAATGCTAACTGAATTCTCTTATCTACCAACAACAAGAGAGCGGCAGGTTCTTTGTGCAGCAACAACAAAACTGAAATGTGCAAAATGAAGCGAGTTTTACATACATACATGCATGCAGGCGTACATGTGTCTCAAAGGCGTGTAGGCGCTAAATCGGCTTCTCGCCTGATCGCCTTTCAATTGCAAATACCGAACAAATGAATGAACGATTGCGCGAGAAAATGGAGGTTGGTAGCAATGGTGTGGTTTTAGGAGGCTTGGCAAAGTACTACATATGTACATATATGTGTAGATTCATGAATTTGAAGGTTGAATTTGGCAGCCCTGCTGGAAAGTACTTAAGGTGAGCTAATTCCTTGTTTAATTAATTTGATATAAAAGATATTTATCATTGCAAATCCATTAGTGCATACGGCAATATAACTACAATGAAAATAGCACGTGAAGGCGCTGCTAAATTGAATCGTATTTAAAAACTTGTATTTATTAACCGAATTTTACTTAAATAATCTTTGTATAATCACCTTCAGAGCATATTACTTTAAATAAAAATATAGCCATAAAAAGATGGCAGAAAATTTCGGCCTACCATTACTCATTATGCTCAAGAGACATTAGAGAATCATAAAATAATTAAGGTTCCGCTGAAAACAATCATTTGCTATTACAATGGACAATAATAAGAAAATAGTTCATATTGCGAAATTAATGTTAAAAAAGCCTACTTCTCACCATGCACCTGATTTTAGCAAAACAGTTTACCCTTTGTACATATTTACTTATATTTGATTTTTAAACATTTTATAATAAATATTTTTCGTTTCTATAATATATGAAAAGACGACAAGAAATCATAATTGTAAAGTTGCTTAAAAAGGTCTTCACTTTTGTAAGCCGAATTTCTTCTTCAGCCTTTGTGTTTATAAAGGATTGATATACACATATACTTCTATTATATTTCGAATAAAGAATCATATTAACAAGTATAGAGGACCTAAATTCGGGTACAACTGAACATTTTTTACTCTAGAAACCTGCCAGAATCAAGCAAGAATCAGCAACGAAAAGTTGCGGCGAACCTTTATATTAAGTTTCTATTTTACTATCCACCCGATTTTATCAATTTTTGCCAGGAATTATTGACCCAATTCAAAACATTTTCGACGTATAGACATATTGTTTTCCAGAAAGGATTATCCTTGAACCTCAACTATGTAGCTCATACCTAGGCTGATATTTGCGGTAGAAAGTTAACTAAAGTTACTTGGGTCCAAATATTCAGTACCTAGAGGCTTGAACAGTTTTATTTGGATTTGAGCAATTTTTAATGGTATACTTTAAAGGCATTATTCATGCAAAGTTTTGTACCGTTATATTAATTGCTCTTGATTTGCACCCTGGAAAGTGAAGAGTTAAACAGAATAAAATTTGTTTATTTGAAAACAAAGGCGTGGGTATAGTGCGATTTCGTCAATTTTGCTCTATTACATAGGAACATCAAAAGAATGTCATGTACTAAATTTGGTTGAAATCGGTTAGGAACCGATTTTTATACCTACGTGTTTATAAAGCCCGCTGTTTTAGTATTTTTTTAACAGTACCGTTATATATAGCATTAGCAGTACGAGTTATACGATGATATTGATAAAGTTCAGCAAATAAAAAGACAAGTGCTAGACTGGCTAAGTCATGTCGTCGGAATTAATGAAAGCACTCCAGATTTGAAGTTGTTTGATACACTTTCCATTGGTGGAAGCAGATGAGAGCAAAGACCTACACTTACGCTTGATAGTGGCACTATCATAAAACCCCCCTTTCTATTGGTGGAAACACAATCTTCACAACCTTCTCTGGAAGCGAACTTTCCACCATCAAAATCATTCGCAAAAGACAGGTTGAAAGGTGCAGTCATCAGTGCTAGATCCAAATTTAAAGGATGGAGACATATGAACCTGCTTCCCGGAACTTCTAGCCACTATGCATGGTACACAATTAATCTCCTGAGGCCAAACTGCTTCTAGGCAATTGCTTCTTTCAGAAACTTCATTTTTTGACAAGTATGGCTTTAAGAAAGCAGCTTATAACTAATAGTACCCTGCCAACCGGAGCAAATATTTAGAAAAACCTTTTCGACTTGATTCGACCAGCATTGAGCAATAATGCATCAAGCAGTCACGAAACTGTCTAAGAAGTGGCTTTAGTGCAAATATTTGGTTTTCCAACGATATAAAGAGTAGCCCGTACGCTATTATACAAAACGAGATACAGATTACTGAAGCCATCTATTATAATTGAGTTCATTCTAGTAGAGCTTATGGCTCAAACACCGTCAAGTGGAGCTTGAAAATTTCGCTAAATCATCAATTTATCACTTCATCGAATTTTTTTTTCAGCTTTTTTGTTTGGAATTTGGAATCCCTCTCTGGTGAATGGTACGATTGTAGTAAATCTTCGTGATGTTTCGTATCTGAATTGCTCAGATACTGAAAGAAAGACTATTCGAACTTATGCCTTTTATCTAAGACTTCCAGATACCTTATGTTCCATGGTTTTTTAAATTTTTTTTTTTTTTTTGATAAATGAATAACATGAATTACAAAAAAAAAAAAAAACTGTTTGTCACCAAATGTTTCAATATTTAATATTTGAACTTTCTTTGTTGTCAACACAACTGAGTATCAAACATTGAGTGCCATTGGGGTGAGGCCATTTAGGCCAGCAATGTCAACGTGCGATCAACCGGCTGTAAAAAAGTTAAGTTCTGCACTCAAACCTTAATGCCATGTCTACAGGTATTTCTAAGTGAATGCCAGTAAATGTACCGTTATTGTTGGTTACTGTGCGATTTGTGGCAATATCATTCGCACAAAGAACGCATTGAAATCGAATTGTAAGCGTAAGCATTGAATCGCTCTTGTCGCATAATATGTTGCACAACTCCTGGCTTGCCACAAGTGTGCATGTACGTTGGATTTGCAGTTAGTTCTGTACTAAGAGTGCAGTGGGAGGCAGCAAGGCGTACACTGCACTAAAGAGTTCACTAGTTCAATATGTCAGCAGCCAGTGCTGCTGTGATAAGTGGTCGGCGTTGCTGAGTTTTGTGGCACACAAGCTCGTATGAAATACATATGTATATGCGAGGTTCAACCGGTAAAGCAGAAAGGCGGAAAAACGTTTCGATGGCAGCTTGTTGTTTTTATAGCATTCTAAATCGTTTCTATGACTTTTGTGTAGATTTTTTTTTTGTATTTAAATATGCGTGTGTTCATGTGTGTGGACTCACCTGTGGACTAACCTGAAACTGTTGCATGGGATAGGCGACAACGCCGGTGGCTTGTGGCAGACCGCTGCCGACGCTTTGTGCAATTTGTGGAGCGGTGGCGCCCGCTAACGGCGCTTGTGGTGGCACACTTTGCCAAGTGCCGGGAATTTGCACGCCCATGCTAGATTTGTGGATGAAGAGAGCGGAATAAAAATTATTTAAAAAGAAAGTTTTTATGTAAATTTTTTTTTATTTATTTATGCATATACTATACATAGTTATTTTTTAATAATAGCTTTTATTCAGAAAATATTTGAGCTAATACACGCTTCTGGGGAATTTATTATTTTGCACAATCTTCTCTGTCCGTATACAGTTTACTTATGTATTAGGGAGTTTCTTAAAAATACACAAAAATATCTTTTTTTTTTATTATACTCGCCCTAATGCTCTATAATAGTTTCGCTGTTGAGTTTAAATTTCAAAGTATCCTTTCAAAATATATTTTTTTTACATTTAAGAACCTCCCTAATACACTGTAAACATCCATATTTTTATACTTTCTCTACCGTAAACCATTCACTGCATATGCGCCTTAACGATATCAATTTAACTACACTCAGTTATAAAAATGTCTATCTTTACCCCATATATCCTTGTTGGTAGCCAGCAAATTGTCCGTAGGTTGTAAATCCTTGCATGCCTTGCAAAAATTGTCCCGGTTGTAGGGCGTTGGCGGGCGTGGGCGCAGCTGTGGGATATGTCGGTGCTGGTGGATACCAATAGCCGGCCACTTGTTGCCCATATGCGGCTGCCGCTGCCGCCGCTGCTGCTGTGCCGAATGGGAAGCCGGGGCTTAGTGCTTGCCCGGCGATGGCCGACATGTGATTGGGGTCGCCGCTCTCTTTGCCCCACGCACACTTTACTGGCTGTTGATTGATTTCGGTATTGTGTACGCCGACAATGGCATGGGTGGCGGCCTCTTTGGTGGAGAAACTGCAACGAATTATTTATGACGTATTTAAAAGAAATATATTAAGATGATTATTTTTAAGACTTGTCATTTGATTTAAGGCAATAAAAATACTTGTACTTTCCTTGGTTGAAGAGTATGTTTTAGGTTTATTGAAGTAAAATTTTTATTCAATGCAGTACATAGTATATTGGAATTTTATAGTACACTATATACATATAGGATAATGAAAAGGAAATATATAATGATACAATTTGAGGATTGGTATTGTATTTGTGTCTTTTGAAGTAATTATTTATGATTAATCAACTAAAAGGGCTATAAAATTTAAAAAGGCAAACACTTATCGCTAGTTATATCAAATAAAAGGGGCATATGCCTCTCAGAAAAGGTAAAAAAAATTCATCTAATCCGATATTCTTAAATATATACGATACGATATTCAATACTTTTTTAAGGCAAGTTTAATAAAAGTTTCTGCTATCGCACATTATGTAATTTAATCGTGGTCAAGCTAACAAATCTATTTTTGAAAGTCCAATGATAAGTTATAATGAAGAAATTTTCTACGCAAGGTTGAGTAAGACAATATATTTCTTACATCCATATGTGTTACTCTCAGCAAAAAAGAATAAGATTTTTTAGTTTAAATTTCACTTGAAAACCATCCAATAATTTCTTTTCTATGTTGGCATGACTGTAAGTGACTTTTGTGTTAAATGTCAAACCAAAATCATCATTAGCAATTAGTATACGCTTTTTTTTTTTGAATTACATGAAGTGCATAAAGTGAATCACGTCCAGGATGGCCATCAACATCAGATGATGATCAACACATCAATAAAATAAAGTTATTGGTACTTGACAATCGACGATTAATAGCCGAGATTTTATTGCCATCGTTGAAATATGGGAAGGGTCTAAGGCAATCACGCAATTCTTTCGAAGAACAGCATAACGTTAACGTCTGTGACACAATGCTTTTCGACTATCAGGATGACGTGAAACGTATTATTTCCGGCGACGAGGCTTAAATCTATGCTTGCGACGCGGAAACAAATGATTTATCCGCCAAATATCGAAGCAGAGGTTAGGCGAAGCCAAAAAATCATGTCAAATCTGGTCAAAATTCAAGTGTAACTTGAGAGTTTTCTCCGATTATCGAGGTGTGGTGCACGTCAAATTCCTTGTGAGAGTTTGAGTGTCACGACATAGATTTTGAATAATAAATTGAGAATTTTAAAATTATGAAAAAAGTAGTATAGTACTTTGATCATAGTATTATATTAGAAGAGTATTCTTAAAATAATTTAGAGCTTCATTTTGTTTCAAGTCCAAGCATTTAAAGAAAAATAGCTAACTTTTGTCGGTTTTTAATATAATATTCATTTTAATCATCATATTTTAAGGTCACGAAATTTTTATCGTGATATATACTACTGTGATGAAATTAGAAGATGAATTTTGTCCATTTTATTTCCTTCAAAGTATTCCCTTCCCGCTGTAATACACTTATGCCTATGAATTTTCGAGTCATTATAGCACTTGAAAAAATCCTCCGTCGTGATGGCAATCAGAGCCCTCTTCAATTTTTCATATCCTCTATTGGGTCAAAACGGCATCCAAGGAGTGGTCATTTGTTGAATAGCCAGAAGTTACACGAAGGTAAATCAGGCGAATGCGTTGGTTTCGGAACGATATTAGTTCATAATCTCGAGAAATGATCACGGATAACAAATGCAGTATGAGATGGTGCATTATCGCATTTCTTTGTTCAACACATTCAGACATAGTAAGTATCGAAGAATTCACTTTTAAAGCTTCACAAAACGACGCGTATCTCAAATACTAATAAATAATATATTTTGATGTGAAATTCAGCATAGATGTCACTAACAAAAAAAAAATTTACGGATTCGAAAAACACTCAAAGTATAATGTTAAAAGTCAACTTTCAATTTTATCACAGTAATATAACGAAAATATTATGAACTCAGAAAATACGCAAAAAATCAAAAACTTTCCATTAAATGAAACCTACACGAAATTAAACTTAAGTAACTGAAGTAACAGCAGCATTAACTATAAAAGTTCTGGGAATTAAATCTCAAACTCAAAAGACTGGAGAAAAAATTGCTCGTAATTTACTAGATTGCTTTTTAGATGCCACTTATTTAAAGTCGATATGCATGCGGGATACACTTCTTTCTGCATATTAATAGCTTTCATTTTCCCCACTTACATAAGGAGGACAACACTGAAAATAACAACAACAACAACGTTGAAGTGTTCACGGTATTAGCAGTTAGCAGAGCGAACAAAGCGTGAAAGTTGTGCAATCGGCCAAGGGATTCGTGACTCGCTCAATCTCAGTGCATCAGTGCAACGGTGCAATGCGGCCTTTTGTGTCAACATGACAGCTGCACATATCCTTCAACACGTACATGCATACGTATACTTGAATATGTGTAGATATAGATGATTATTGAAGTGCACTGGTTGGACTGGTTCTTGGGAAATTATAAGATTTCGGGAATCTACCAAATATTGATAGCTTTAAAGACCCAAAATCTTTCTCTTCTTACTAATTTTTGGCTCTTCAGGGAAAAACTTACTAAAACTTATATTTTAATATGTATGTAACTAAAAGTTTATATTATGGACCAGTACTGTTCCAAATTGAATTAGTCCCTTATTGTGCCACATAGATTTGTATTAACTCACCACTGGACACACCATACATATGTTGCTGCTGTAAAGCTGTTGCAAGCATTGCTGTAGTAAAATCAAAAGCATTACCAACGGCTTCGGTAGCTACAACAGCAGCTAGCGCCCTCGGTATTTGAAGTCTCCAAGCTCATTATGTCGGCAAACACAGCAAGACAATGCAACACAATAGTCGAACAACACCAACAAACAATGGGGAAAATAAAATTCGGAAAAAAGCTAAAAACAATACAACAAGCTGCAACAACTGACTTAACAATAAAATGACTACAACAACACACACATACAAGTGAATACACTGCGCCATACAGCTAACTGTAAGTGGGGTGAATATGAACTCAAACTGTAAAACAATAACAACACAATGCTGTAAAGGGGCACGCGCACACTGGCAGCTAATCTAGGAATACAACAATAAATAAGTTTCCGATAATGTTGTTTGAGGGATGCAAAGGGGGGAAAAACTATTGGACCTAACTTTAAAAAGCGCGATAGGAAGGGAGGAAAGTATAGTCGTGTCATATAGAATCAGCTGAACTTATTTAGAATCAGTGATCACTTCTATTAAGGATTTCTTAAAAGATCTTAAACATTTACTTAGATATAGATGAGATTTCTGTAGTTTCTGCTACGAGGAACAATAAAACTGCTTAACATGTAAAACCTGAATCGATTTTAAAGATTTTTTCGGACTTTGCCGTAATAATGTCAAGAAGATACCGGGTGTCATCTGTTTGTAATTTTTAATACAATAATTTTTGTTCGATGAGAAACACCGTAATATACGTACCAAAACAAAACTTAATTCAACAATACCGTTAAGGTAAATGCATAATTTCAAAATTTCTAAAAATGTATTTTTTTCGCTTCCATAGGACATTCGTATCTGGCGTGTTAGTATAGACCAGGCATACTCACGCTATAGCTCATTTAGCTTCGTTTGGCTTCGAAAAAACATCTCTTAGAGCAAATACAGCATTTTTAAGAGCAACACGCAAAATGACCAGAGCAAGCGATTTAACATGCGCAGGCGACATCTGACTTACGGTAGATTGCTCGAAGCTAATGACACAATCGTCATTCATTCACTGCTGACTAACATGAATTCGCAATCACTGAACTTTGTCAAACACTGCTTTGTTGTTAGTTCAGTAAAAATGTTTGGGTCGAAGAATATGTGGTCACTTCTAAAACTATATTGCTGTAATTTTTATTGATATTGGAGTCCTTGTCTCCGAAATCAAATTTTTTGGTCACCTTGTCGTAACCCAACTCCATGTTATAATGCCACAAAAATTTGTTGTAGAAATGAGTTTCAACCGTTTTATGGCTCATTACACTACTTTGATGAAATCGCTACTAGAAATTGACATGGGGAACAGCAAGTCAAAAAGAAGGTTTCAATTTTGGCCTCAACTTCTTCTTTACTGGCGTAGATACCGCTTACACGGTTTTAGAAAAGTTAAAACAGCGCGCTAGCCATTTCATCTTTCGCAACGTAGCGCCAAATGGAAATTCTTAGTGTAGCCGGGTCATTATCCAGGTGTCCTTTCCAACAGAGTGGGAGGACTTCTCTTTCCTCTGCTTCTCCCGGCGAGTAATGCGTCGAATACTTTCAGAGCCGCAGTGTTTCAGTGCATTCGGACGACATGACCTTGCGAGCCTTGCCGTTGTCTTTAAATTCGATGAACTATAACAATGTCGTCGTATATCTCGAACAGCTCATCGTTCCACCGAATGCGATATTCGCCGTGGCCAACGAGCGAAGGACCATAAATCTTTCGCAGAACTTTCTCTCGAAAACTCGCAACGTCGACTCATCAGTTGTTGTCATCGTCCAAGCCTCTGCACCATATAGCAGGACTGGAATTATGAGTGACTTATAGAGTTTGGTTTTTGTTTGTCGAGAGAGGACTTTGCTTCTTAATTGCCCACCCAGTCCGAAGTAGCCCCTGTTGGCAAGAGTTATCCTACTTTGGATTTCCAGGCTGACATTGTTGGTGATGTTTACGCTGGTTCCAAGATAGACGAAATTATCTACGACTTCAATTTTATGACTGTCAACAGTGACGTGAGTCGCGAGTACGACGACTGTTTGTTTGATGACAAGAGATATTTCGTCTTGCACTCGTTCACTGCCATACCAATTTGCTTTGCTTCCTTGTCCAGTCTGGAGAAAGAAGAACTAACGGCGCAGGTGTTGAGGCCGATGATATTGATATCAGATGGATACTTCTTCAGATGGATACCTGCTATGCGAACTTCTTCATGGTCGGGCAATGGAACATTTGCTCCATCGTCGTCGGTTGGGGAATCGGGTTTACTATCTCATTTTCCACTAGTACCACAGTTTTTGAGATACTGATTCGAAATTTTCATCTCATAAATAGGTTTTGAGGTAATGGTGTAATCTCTGAAGAAATTATTCAGTTCGAATCACTATGGCCCGGATAACGAAGTAAGTTCGTGTAAGTAATGTTTTGTATTTGTGAAGGATATTCTAGCTTCGGTGCAACCATCGAATTTTCATCGCATAACACGGGATTTTTGTAAATAAGTGGCCAATATTGGAATATATATAGAAAACGAAGATGCCTATAGCCTTGACAAATACGAGAAGAACTGTGCTCCGTCTTCAGACCACGGATATGATATTGACTCACCAGAAGCTCCGGAAACTTGGTTGGGAGCGGAATGATTTTGATGTTGAATAATTCGAATCGAGAGGAGCTGGTTAAAATCGGCTAATCTCATTTCGTGAAAGTGGCTATAAGAACGATACTAATTCTCAAACAAAATTATTGATTATAAGAAAAATATGATCGCTAACACAGTTGAACAAATTTAAGTTTTGAAATATTCCAGGGTCGATGTTGCTTCAAGCAATAATTTGTTAAAAATATAACTAACTACCATACATGTATATATTTATTTGTATAATTCTTAAGCTGAAAATGTCTTTAAATATCATTCCAAAGGTTTTTAAACACCAATTCTTTTTGCATGAATATCGAGTGTAAAATTTAAGTGCTCTCACACACTAACAAGCCAGTACTTAAATGCACGTGCGTGTTTAAGCACACATTTGCACTTTTTGCGAAACTGCGAAACTTTAACATTATGTCATATTTTACTTTTTGTTTGATTTTTACTTTTTTCAATGGAAACTCACCGTACAAATGCATATCCTTTGTCCTTGAACACCCTTATCTCCTGAATTGTGCCATAGGGAGAGAAAGTTTTCTGCAAAATATCCTCGTTTAGAAAGCCGGACAATGCGCCATTGATGCCACCACAATAGACGGTGCAATTAGTGGGGCTGCTTTGGTTGTACACCTCATCGAAGGTTAAAGGTTTGGCATTAACTAATGGAAAAAGCAAAGTAGATTAGCACAACATATTAAAACAAAAAATTGAAAGCGTTCGCAAAGGTGTGGAATAAAAAGAGAAGAGTTTTACGGTTTAAGTTAATGTAATATAATTATAAATTACGAGGGGCGCTAAAAAGTTTTTGGAACTGTTACTTAATTGATGGCATAAACAAATAGTTTAGCTTAATTATTACTATTGAACTTAATAGAATCTCATAGAGTTTAAGGAGTTCTCGCATATTTATAACATATTTCATTTGTAGGCCGTATCTTTGACGTCATTTAACGGTAGATCCGAGCAGTCTCTAATGTTTAGAAAGCAGTGCTCTTATCAACTACTTTCTACTCCTTTACTAAAACAATTTGTTCCCGTCATTCAAATTAGGCATCAGTTTTAACGATTTCTTTCCAGACATTATTTTCTTCAGATCTGAGGTTTTTCTGATATGTTAAATGCGGAAACATTTCGAAGTAAAATTCACTCTATCATGTCAACTAGTCAGATCCCGACTTTATGTAGAGCTTTTGCAAACGCAAATATGCAAGAAATCCACGGTTGTCTATTCTCCGCTTGGGTGTTAAGATTCAGGTTGGTGGTCATCTAACGGAACGATCCAGGAAACGTGCAAGGGATACTCTAGATTCTCGAGGAAACCCGACTTCTTTGTTTCCTATCGAAGGTCATTTAACTCCAAATGGGTCATTCGCTGGGGGAGACACGCTAAAGATATAAACGGCTCCACTATGTCTCGTTAGCGTACTGTTCAATGTCGTCGACATAATCAAGAAATGACCGCTTGATGCTTCCAAGAGAACAGACAAGAATAATTTATGTGAAAACATCACAGCAGAAATTTTTGGGAGAAGAGTATGTTGTGTTTCTTAACCGTATTTTTTTAAAGTAACGAGTTTCTCATGCAACAATTTCCAAAACTTATTTGGTGCCCCTTGTATTTATGTCATTTTACTATTTCGTTTTTGTCTCGCAGCGCAAACACGTTTTCCTCTCATTGGAATTACGCTGATTTACTTACCATCCAATTTTGTCGCCGGCGGTTTTCTTGTGGCCCAATTCGTGCGTATCGAACGAGACCCCAACCACTGACCATTCATGGCGGTAATGGCATTTTCCGCTTCCTGCAATGACACAAAGCACAAATACAGTTCAATGCAATGGATAAATGCTTTTTAAAGCAAATAAAAACTAGTTGAAAGAGTAAAGGAAAAATACATATATACGAATATACATGGTAAATAAATAAATGGCAAATGAAAGACAAAGACAGCGAATTCCGTGAAGCTAAGCATAATTTAATTGCATTTCTACGCTGTTTGGCAAAATCAAAGTCGCAATGAATTTGAGATTTATACAGAGTAAATAGTGGGCGCAGCGCATAGCGTGCTGGGTGAAGGCTTACGAACCGATTGATGGTGAATGATTGGAAAATAGACATACACATTTTTGTTCAAATTTATATAAACAAATCTGCTTTTGATAATCTGCTGACGATGTTGTGGACGTTGAGCGATCGAAGCCGGCAGCAATTCGTAAAGAAAATAATCTCAACTATTCCCTTTACACTTCTTGCAAATTATTTAAAAGCCACAAAAAAAAAAAAAAAAAAAAAAAAAAAAAAATTAAAAAAATAAAAAAACAAAAAATAAATAAAAAAAAAAAAATCGTCGTGGCAGCAAGTTGATTACTTCAAAGCATACTTACATGGTGATACATGTGTTCAGTTATTTTTTATGACAAAATTAAGTTTTAGTGAGGTATAAAGTTGAGATACCAAATATCTTAGAAGTAGGAGGTAATTCCTGAACCATCTTAATACATGTCTTCAGACTCATATTTCTAGCTTTTCAGGCGGAAAAAAGATTAGAAAATTATCCCAAGTTCTAAAACGCTTAAGCGATAAGATATCAGCGTATTAGGTATATTTAAGTGAAAAATACAAAATTTGAATTTAAAAACCTTTCTTGCAAAGAAAATCGCGACACAAAATAATGATCTTCTTCCAAGGTTCTTGTGATCGTTGATTGCTTTATCTTGACTAGTTAGCTCGACAATTGTTCTACGGTCCTGAATTTTAATTAATTTTTTACTAAAAACTTTCGAGGTATTATGCATTCCTAAAGCTGGTTTCCAATTTCATTTAAATTTAGATGCGGAATTGTCAGAGATCCTTTTATGAAGCAACGAAGATATTTTCTGAACTTGAAAATTGTCTGAAAATTCCCTAATACAGTGTAGGTATATACATATGTGCATCGGAACATAAAAATAATTTCTTCTAAAACAACCAATAATTTTTCAAGGAACCAGAGCAGCGCTGGCAGTCCTCCAGTATTTATCGTTTGATAATAAAAAATATACAACTATTGAAACACCCGTTACAGACGTTCATACCAACATAAATGATGCGACTACGAAAGTTACTGTCCACAGCTGAACTAATCCGTTAGCTGTGGACAGCTATAAGAATACTATGCTACGGCTAGTCTGGTGTTGTGTTGCTGCTGTAAATTTTTGCGACTTCTGTTCTGCTGCTGCTCTGTTTCTCTACTGCTAGACGTCAGAGCTGCTGGCTGCCAAACTTAGCAAATTCTTTATTTTAGCCACTGGCGTTGGCAGCGAATTCAATGGGGTGCGCTTGGCGTTTGGCTGTCAGCGCTCGACCCTTGCCTAAAGTAAAAAGCAAAAAAAAAAAAAAAAAAAAAAAACGAAACCTTCCCGAAATTTGTGCGCGCTCGCCTCCATTGACGCCTTAATGGCACAAACTTAAATTGACTTTTCCACAATGTCAACAGAGAGCGGCGTCAATGAAGCCAAGTGCGGGGCCGACGGCGGATCATGTGCGGAAGCCATAATGCAAAAGAGGGAGAAAAACTGCAGCAAAGCTAAAGGGAAAGAATCTCTAGAAGTATGCATGTAAAAACTATGCACTAATTTTAATAAAACAAAAACGTCAACTATTCAAAACAAAAAGCGACAACAGAGATAGAGAACGAGTAGCATAAGCAAGCCAAGGGAAAGAACTCGCAACATAGGCAATGTAAATAACAAGTTTGAGAAAATGCATGAATAGCAAGAAAATATGGGAAAAAGTTGATTCCATTGTTTGCCGCAGCGAAGGCAGCGAACTTTTGCGATTTGGGCATTTGGGATGTGAGCGAATGCCAATAACAGCAATATGTTCCATCAACCGTGTTGTCGTTTTATTTGGTATATTTATATTTCGTAAGACGCTGCGTTGAGAGGTGGGCGCCTGCAGCTTGCAATGCAAACAAAAAAAGCACAAAAATAAAGCTGAAGACGAAATAAAAATTAAGTCTGGCGCAAGAATTTCGATGAGTTGAGGAAARAAAMAAAAAAAAAAAGAAGTCACCGTGAAACGGTGTAAAAAGTAAGCAACTATAAACACTAAAGTGGCAGCATTATTAAGGACTTTAATTCCCAGAGTCAATAGAGACAAGATGGTGCCAGATCGCGGCAAACATAAATGGAAGTGGATTATTTCAAGCGGGTTTCGAAAAACGGGAGAAATAAATATAAGAACTTTTTCCATAAAGGTGTTCTGCCTTGGACTTCACAAGCTGTTAAGTCAGGATAAAACGTCAACTTCGCTTGAACGAAACTAGAATACTAATCACTAATAAGGAAATTTTCATACATAGATTAATTTTTTTTCTTCAGCTGTTCAGAATGAAAGCTATATGATAAAGTGGTACAATGTAAACAAATTTTCAAATACTGTAGTTTTATTTTGAAGAATAATCTCTGCAAAATTTGAGAAGATATCTCGTTAAATTTAAAAGTTTTTCATACAGGAACAAGATTTTGATCCTTCAAGTGGCATGACAGCTATATGTTATAGTGATCCAATATTGGCAATTCCGACACATGAGCAGTTATTTCAGAAAAAATGGCATCTGCGAAATTTTACGTAGATAATTCATTAACTGAGCAGCTAGTTCGTATATATAAAGACGGAGGAACAGATGGACGGACGTGTCTAAATCGGCTCAGCTCGTCTGGCTGATTATTACTAACTGATACATATATAAATAGGGTTTTCTACTGTGTCTATTTTTATACACAAAACTTTATATGCAAGGATTAAAAAATATGCTTTCGAAGTCGGCTTCAAACTTATATTTTGCATAATTATTTGGACGATATAGTCATGCAATCTGAAACTCGGTCTACGGACTACACTCTTAAATGCTATAAAATCAATTAGTTTTCAGAATGAGTATATTACATGTTGCTATCAGATCGAGAAAACTGCGGRAAATGTCTAGSGCAAGACACCAGGGAAACACTGGAACATCTCTTGTGCACATTTTCCGCATTGGCAACATTACGCTGTAAGCATCTGGGGTCCCTATGGATTCATACACTGGAGCAGGTATCGACACATCTAGATGTGTATAAGAGACAGGTATGATACAAGAGAAGGTATCGATTGGGGAGGCCGCAAAGTCTGTTTATATTCGTGTCAAGCGCAGGCATCCTAAAGAATAACAACTCGTTGTTAAAGAAATATCTCATTAACAAAAATTTTTACATCGCAGACCTATTTCAGTTAGAGAGTGACGAATCGAACGCACTAATTCAGCCAACGTCCGAGGGACATCACTGGCCACAAGCCTGACTAATAACCGCTGAGCAAGAAATTAAATTTTTTTTAAATATATATTTTTTATGAATCATTATTTTATGTTAATTTAGAGTTTTGCAAACTCGGAAAAATTAACGGCAAATTCTACTGAAATTTTAGAAAGAGCTATGGGTTATGTGCACTAAGCTGGCAGCACTATAATGTGTCACATTACGTGTAAATATATGTATGAATATATAAGTGACTATGTTAATTGCCCTTCTAAGTGGATTGCGCCTTAAACCTTAGTTCTTTCKCTACTTTGCTTAACTTTCATTCTAGCTTTTACTTCAGTTGCTTTTTATACCCTTAACAGGGTATGTTGAATTTGTGACCCAAAAGAATGCGGCGAAGATCATATAAAGTATATAAACTTGTAGTATGTATATAARTAACCATTTTGACGAGCTGGGTGGATTTAGCTATCTTCCCCTGTGTGTCCTTCTGTCCATGCGTCCGTCTATATATATGCGAACTAAAGTCTCAGTTTTGAGAAATCGATCTTAAATTTTGCAAATATCATTTTCTCACACTGAATCTACAAATTTGTAGACCGCCGATCTTGGCCATACAGACTCATCGAAGAACTTAAGTCTATGAATAAAAAAGTTTTAAATTTGACAAGCCATCAATATCAAGATAAATATCTTGCAAATCCTTTTATGTTATAACAAATGTACTTGTGAAGGGTATTATAGCTTTYGCTGTAGCTGARTTTAACGTTTTTCTTTGTGTTTTTTCTTGYTCAGTTACTTTGTTTTCGTTGACAATTGAACGGAGCGTGAGAGCTATAACTTCGTAATCGATGAGCAACCGTAGTGTATGTGGCTCATCGATTATCGACTTCTTTTATATTTATTTTTTGCTTTGCGTATTGTTTGCTTTTTGCACATAGTTTTCAYTGTCGATTAAAGTTTGAACAAATGCTTCACCTTTTGTTTTCTGACTGCCCTTTCGAGTTGTTTCTTTGTAGCAGACAACAATTGCACCCAATCCAATAGTTTCTTATAGTTTTTCGTCAAGTGTTAACTGCTTGGCTTTGTCTCTTGTTGAAAAGAAGTTTCGCATTTAAATGATTGATTTATCCACTATATATGTGTGTATATATATATATATGTGTGTGTATATACAGAAATCTGCTTGGGATTCTTTGATTATTTGAGCTATGAAGCCTAGAAAGTATATTTTCCGATAAAATTGTATGAACCCAAATCATCGATTGCCACCACATATACTAGTAGGGCCAACGAAAATTCCTGCATGAGTACTCTAATAACATAATTGAGTTAAGATGTTAATAGATCACGCTCGCCTCACCAAAAACATGCGAATTGACTAAAAATGTTACCCAAAGCCCCTTCAAATGCATCTACTATTCGTATTTTAGGTGAATACCGGTAAATTTATTGAAAGCGAAAATTATAATTTAATTTTCGCATAAAAGCCAATTCGTGTACGCACGTGCTGCAGCAT